AAGAACATAAAAAAGCAAATTTAGTATGCTCAAAAATAGTAAGATTCAACAGATAATATGTGAATAGCCCATCAAATTTCTTGTAAAACAATTAATGCTAAATAAAATATGACAACCATTCTTTTAAAAGTATATCAAGTATAAAAGAAAAAAGATCCAGAGGTACCAAAGTGAATTCTGCATTAGAAACTAGAGAGGGAAACATGCTCTGGGAGTTACAGCTATACTCAGGGCATTTGCTGATTTTAATTGCTAAAAGTTTATATCTTAATTCTCTGAAATTAATTGCTTAAATCTTACTTATCTGAAGAAATAGGTTTGGAGTCACAAAAAAGCAGGGATTATAAATAATCCGCTTTATAAAAGTGAAACTGTGCAAGACCCACAGTGCAGAGAAGTGGGGGAAATCCATTTAGCCTTAAAGGAAAATGACAAGGAACACCTTAGTCTTGTCCTAGACTCTCAATGAAATAGAAGGAAAAAATGCTATGGATAATTTATTATTATACAAGAGCCACACATGCAAGAAATGGAAAAATTAGAGCTGTTCTCCAGAAATTGGAATGGTTAAATGACATATAATGTAAATGCTTGAAATACAAGAAAATATGAAATAAAAATCACAAGAAAGAGACCAGACCAGGAAAGGAGAGAATATCAACTTCTAGAAATCAAACAACATAATCAATTATATTAAAATCTTAAAGAAAAAGAGATCTAAAAATCAGCCAGAGAAAACAGAGGTTACTTACAAAAGGAATAGTAATGAAATAGATGACAGACTTCTCAAGAGCAACAACAGAAGCCAAAAGACAGTAGGATGATACCTACAGAATGCTGAGAAAAAATTAATTGTCAGTGCAGAATTTTACACTCAGTTAAATCATTAGGCAAGAATGACAGTATAGAAGGTTATTTTTCAAATAAAGAGTATTTACTAAGAATAAGCCTTCACTAATGCATTTTATAATATATAAAATGACCCGAAGGCAGGGATGATAAAAGAGGAATAATGTGCAAATAAAATGATAATCATGAATAATTCCACCAGCAAATATTATAAAACAAAGTAATGCCAACTAGGGAAGTTTAAAAGAGAATGGAAATAAATTACCAGATGATAATAACCCATTGGATGAGAGAAATCAATCAAAGTCAAAGTACTTTATGATCCTTTATAATGTCCTATGAGAAGAAAATTATCAATTTACAAAGTCTAAAAGTAACAAAGACTTAAGTCAAAGAAACAATATTTATATATTGTTATATATTATTTATATATTCATTAAGTATTTAAGTATATAGACAGTATTTATTAAGTCAAACCAACAATAATGACAATGATTTAATACCAAAACACACAGAAATAGCCATAAAATACTTAAATTTAGCAGAAATGCTATTTCATTTTCTTTCTTTCTTTTTTTTTGGTACCAATGGATTTAACCCAGGGGCAGTTAACCACTTATACACCTCCAGCCCTTTTCAATATTTATCTGGAGACAAAGTCTTGTTCAGGGCCTTGCTAAGTTGCTGAGACTGGCTTTGAACTGGAGATCCTCCTGCCTCAGTCCTCTGAGTGGCTGAGATTACAAGCATGTTGCACTGTATCTGGCTATTTCATTTTCTTGCCTACCAGCTGACAAAGATATCTTTAAGTGATGGTATGCAGTGTTCATAAATGTATTGAAAAAGCAGTTTTACACTGCATTTAGACTCCTGATTAAAATTCTGCAACAATGAAATATATAATTGACATAGAAAGGTCAATTTTTCATCTCTATATAAAACCTCAACTTACTGCCTCCATGGGTACCCATTTATTTCATGGCATATCTATCCTTTTTATCTGTTTTCAACTTTTTCTTCTTAAAATCCTAGCAGTGGAAGAAGGGCAGGTGGTTGTTACAAGACTTGTGAAAGCAGCATGCAAACAAAATATTTTTAAGTGATTCTAATATCCACTAAGATATTGAATATCCACTAAATGTGTAAAATTTCAAATATTATTACAATTAATAAAACTACAAAATTTCACTTTAACTAGAAGGAATTAAGTGCACATGACAAAAATTTAAAGATTATCTTTAAAAGTGTATAAATAGTGCATATCTTCCAAACTATAGAGAAAAAGGAGTTGCAAAAATCAAATAACAAATACTGTACCTATACTGATTAAGAGAATGAAAGAGGAAGCATAGAAAATTAAAGACAAAAAAAAACATAAAATGGAGAAAATACATCTAAGTTTATTGGTAATAACAATTAAATGGAGTGAACCTTAAAATTAAAAAAAAAATTCTCAGATAATGCTACACTGCAGTAATTATCAAATATGTCTAAATAGTTGAATAATCTAGGAAGTTTCAAAATATAATGATATTTGTGTCTTATGACCAAAGACTATGATTTAATTGGTCTGGAGTGTTGTTGCACGGGCCAGCCATGGGCTGTGTATGTGAACTATGAGCATTTGAGTGTATGGGAAGACTGACCTGGTGTTGCGTGCTCTTTGGACCCTGCAACACACATGGGCACTTTCCTCTCACTCTGTCTTTGATCCCACACAGCACCTGAGATGGGTGTGGCCTTCCAAGATGTCAATCAGCTGACCACGAGACATCACAAAGCTAGACTCAACCTCCTGAAACCTGACCCCTTGACTTATTTGGAAAGAATATTCTATGGAACCTTCCTTTGAGTGCCCCCTATAAAAATAAAGAATTCAGGTGCAAGCTCTCTTTCCAATAGACTCCCTAAGGTCGAGAGCCATCACTGGACCCTGAGAAAAAGGTATTTTCTCTGCTTTTGTGGGATTATTTCATGCCAACTCAAATTCATCTGGAGTGACCCTGAATGATTTAGTCACATGACATGGCAGAGTGTGGCTTGGGCTCTGGAGTTTTTAAGAGGGCTTCAACTATTTTTAAAATGCATTCAAGTTTAAATTGTTTTCCAAAGTGGTTACGTCAAGTGATATTATATCAGTACAGTTTAAAGCACTTAAGTACCAAACAGTTCTACCGAGATATAATTTACACACCTATGGTTCATTTTTTTTTTAAATACAAAATTCTGTTTTTAAAAATTATACTCACAGAGCTGTGCAATTATGTAATTTTTAAAAAATTTCTTTCTTTCTTATTTATTTATTTTTATGTGGTCCTGAGGATCAAACCCAGAGCCTTGCATGTGCAAGGCAAGCATTCTACTGCTGAGCCATAACCCCAGCACCCCCACCCCCGCAATGATGTAATTTTAAAAACATTTTATCACTCTTAAGAGAAGTATTGTCTATGCCCATTAGCAGTCACTTACCATTCTCCCACTCCTCATTTTTCATCATATCTCACTGCCCCCCAGGGTGGGCAACCAGTAATCTACACTATATCTCTAATGGTTTACCTAGTATGGATATTTTATGTAAATGCAACTATATAATAAGTAGATTTTTGTCTGGCTTCTTCCATTTAGCATGTTTTCAAGATTCATCCAAGTTGATGCATATATGAGAACTTTATGTTTTTACTGCTAAATAATACTCCATTCTAAGGATATACCAAATTTTATTCATCATTCATTAGTTCATGGACACTTGAGTTATTCCTCCTCCTTGGCTACTATGAATAATGAAGTACTTTTGCCTTCAAATGTTGTCAGGAGCTGCCACATAGGAAATGAGTGCACCCTGGTCTTAAGTGATGAGAATGTGGAGATGTGGCAAGCCAGTCATAGGCTGTGTGTGTGAATTATGAGCACTGAGCGCACAAAAGTGAACTGAACCGACATTGCCCCTCTGTTTGGGGGGCCTTGCTCTGGTCTTTTCACTTGCTCTGCCAGGATCCCCACACAGCTCATGAGATGGGCATGGCCTCTCTAGATGTCAGTCAATCAGCTGACAGCAGACATCACCAAGCTAGACTCAACCCCCTGAAACCTGACCTCTTGCCTCATTTGAATGGCTTCTCCCCTATTGGGAGAAGGGTTCAGCTGCGTGCTTTCTTTCTCTTTCCATGGACCCCTAAGGTCAGAGGAGCTGGCACAGGACCCAAAGAAAAAGGTATTTCTCTGTCTCTGTGTGATTATTTTGTGCAGCTCTGTTCACCTGGAGTGACCCTGAATGTTTAGTCTTGGAATGCGACAAAATATTGCAGATGATTAGCAGTGTCAGACTTCTTCATTTTTGCCAATGTACAGCATGTGAAACATTGACTCACTGTGATTTTAATTTGCATTTCCACTTTTTTATATGCTTACTGGCTATTTCTCATTTCCTTAAGCTGCCCATAAATATCTTTTGTGGACTTTTTCTTATAAAATCCTTTCATATTCTGGGTACCAATTTCACTCTTGTCTGTAAGCATCTTAAGCATCTTCATCTAACTCATAGCTGGTCTGTCTTCTTTCTTTCTTTCTTTTTTAGTTGTAAATGGACACAATACTTTTGTTTGATTTATTTTTTTATGTGGTACTAAGGATCAAACACAATGCCCTTATACGTGCTAGGCAAGTGCTCTGCCACTGAGCCATAATCCCAGACTGTCTTCTACTTTATTTATGACATCTTTTGATAAGAGGATAATTTCATGTAAATTTATCAATCATTTAATGATTATTTAAAAGAAGAACAAAACCTTTAGAAATTATTCATTTGGTTCTCTTTCAAATCTTTTTCTTATCTCTTTTTTAATATTTTGTTGTCTTAGTTATACTTGGACATAATACCTTTATATTATTTTTATGTGGTGCTGAGGATCGAACCCAGTGCCTCGCACGTGGTAGGCGAGTGTTCTACTGCTGAGCCACAACCCCAGCCCCCTCCTCTTCCTTATCTCTTATTACTAGTCCTTTTCATGATTTGTTTCCTTAAATATTAAACCAATAGCTTATGTCTAATTCCAATATGAAAAGTTTTGCCACTTAATCTGTTGTTTCTTTAGATATCTATCACTCATGTGTGGCCTGTCTTCTTTCCAGTATAATAATATTTGTGAGCTCACCTTTTGTTGGTCTTAATTTGTGAGAATTCTAAAGGCATCTTACTTTTCTCCAGAGAAGATTTGCATTTACTTCGGTCAGGAATCAGAGGGCACCACCTTAGAGAATAAAATTTCAGCTCTTTTTTTAAAAATTGCTTAATTATCTTTACTTAACAATCACGTTTATCTAGAAATGTTTTTCTGTCCCTCCTACAACCAAGTTACTACCCACCTCAAGGTCTTACAGTTGCTACTGTACCTACTTGGGATCCTGTTTATCTAGATACTAGTTTTACTCATGTCCTTATTTAGTCAAGTCTTGTTCAAATATTAACTCTTCAGATAGGCTTTTCCAAAATCTATGTATCTAAATAGGGCCACCACATTCCCCATTATTATTTGCTTACCCTACTTCACTTTATTCACGTGCTTACCACTACCTGCTATTGTTTTATTAAATATGCATGCACATAAACATGTTTTTGTTTCCTTATTTATTTTGTATCTCTCCCACAAGAATGTAGAGTCCAGAAGAGTAGGAACCATGTTTAGGTCATTATTCCCCCAATGCCTGCTATTGTCCTTGGCACCGAATAGGACTTCAATAAATACTTTGGAATAAACGAACACACATTTGAAATAGTAGAGACAATGATACTAAGTCTAAATTTTTGAAAAAATTCTGTAAAGGAAATCAACTCTCAAGTTTATATAAACGGGTTGTCACATGAGGCCCTGTTGATCTCCAGTACCAGAAAAACAGAAAGAATAGAAAAGGGAAAAAAAAAAGGGTTATATCACTGGGGAAGAACTGGAGCCATCCTTTCCTTTGAAATTGGGAAAATTATGATAAGAGAACAACAGGTAAAAGAAGTAGGGAATAGGTGAAATTCCTTAGGGAGAACACACTGAAAAGCCCTGGCTTTTCTTCTCAAATCATAGGTCGTTTATTCTCATTCAACCTGAGCACTGCCGAGTAGTATAACAATCAATAACTATAAAGCCTTCAGATAAACAAATAATGAAAGGGCAAGAGATAGTTATATTCCAGTGATACAAGGAGTACTATAAATAAAGTGATAATCTAGGTCAGATCACTTATTAAAAGTTCTGATTTAGGGTCTCTTCCTTATCATAATGCTTCAGGAAAAAAAATTCTTAGACAATTATAGATTTGTCCTAAGCTATTTTCCAACAGAAGATGATTCTAGCATATTCATTCAATGTGAAATATAAAATTTTCACAAAAATCAAAATTTTCACAAACATCTCAACTACTAAGCATGTGTAAGAGAATGTGTTTGAGTAATATATTATGTTTACTTGAGTTGTTACTAAAATGCATTGATCCACTCTATCACTACACAAATAATAGAAGCTCTTCTGTTCAGAAAAACTACATATTTCTACATTTATTTTTTGATCTTTGTGACTGAGGCCTGTGAATTTTTCTGAGTTCTTTTGGTGGATCTGAAGCATAAAATGTATAGCCTTTTTTTTTTCTGACAACATTTGCAAGTACCCCAGAATTCAAATCCAGCCCCTTGATCATCAAGGAAGCATTAAAGACTTTAAAGCATTAAAGCAGAAGGCAGCATTAAAGACTTTCTGAAGGGTGGAAAAGATAAAGGTAGCTATAAACCTATTCTACTTTCAGCAATTTCAAATCATTCCTTTCTGAATAGTAAAAAATTTAGTTAAGTAAGTCATGGTGGTGCGCACCTATAATTCCAGCAGGTCTCAGCAACTAGGTCCTAAGCAACTTATCAAGACCTAGTCAAAAAATATATATATGAAGGGCTGGGGATATGGCTCAGGGGTTAAGAGCCCCTAGGTTCAATCCTCAGTACAAAAAAAAAAAAAAAAAAAAGGTCAATTATTTAAAAGCAGCCTTGAAATAATAGCAGAGAAAGCAGCCATTCTAAATTTAGATCCTGAGATACAAGGGACAGATACCCTTACCTAGTGATACCAAGTTGCTATAGTTCTCCAACATTACATCTCTATACAAATCCCTTTGGGCAGAGTCCAGGCATTCCCATTCTTCCTGAGAGAAGTCAATTGCAACATCCTTGAACATCACTGATCTCTGAAACAACAAACACAGTATTAGTTGTAGAAATAAATAAAATAGTTTATCAGTGAAGGTGGAAATGAAGAGGAGCACTCTACAAAGGAGACAACAGAGAAAACAGAGTAGGAAGCTTCTGACGTGGGGGAAGACAGTAAAGAAATTGGTGATTCTGAAGTGGTAGCATATTCCTTCTTTTTCCTGTTGCTGTATTTTTTCTACATAAAGAACATCTCATTGTACAGATAGGTCTGAGAATTAATAAAGAAAATTCAATGTTCCAATTAAAAGAAGTGGCATATACAAGTACCCTGCAAAAATGTAAGCTGTCTATCATGCACTCTATCATAAATGCAAGTTTCTCTTTCTGTATTTAAGGAATAAGAAAAATAATTGGGAAAATGTCCTGTAAAATCTTTTTTAAAAAATATTTATTTTTTAAGTGTAGATGGACACAACACAATGCCTTTATTTTTATGTGGTGCTGAGGATTGAACCCGGGTCCCCGCCCGTGATAGGCAAGCGCTCTACGCTGAGCCACAATCCCAGCCCCATGTCCTGTAAAATCTTATGAAACAGGATTCTTACAGTATTAAAGAATTTATTGAGGGCTGGGGCTGTAGATCAGCAGCAGAGTGCTTGCCTAGCATGTGTGAGGCACTGGGTTTGATCCTCGGCACCACATAAAAATAAACAAATAGGGGCTGGGGATGTGGCTCAAGCGGTAGCGCGCTCGCCTGGCATGCGTGCGGCCCGGGTTCGATCCTCAGCACCACATACAAATAAAGATGTTGTGTCTGCCGAGAACTAAAAAAATAAATATTAAAAAAATTCTCTCTAAAAAAAAATAACAAATAAAGGCATTCTGTCCATCTACAACTACAAAAAAAAATTTAAAAAAAGAATTTATTGAAGTCTCCTGCTCATCATTATATCAGAGTATTACTTCATAAAACATTTCCCATGTCACCAGTAATTTAGTTCATCTTTCTTTTTTTTAATATTTATTTTTTAGGTGTAGATGGATACAACACAATGCCTTTATTTTTATGTGGTGCTGAGAATCAAACCCGGGTCCTGCCCATGCTAGGCGAACGCTCTATCACTGAGCCACAATCCCAGCCCCTAGTTCATCTTTCTTAAAGGCTAAAGAATAGCTCCATGTAATGAATATATCCAACTTATTTAGTAGGTGCTCACATTCAAAAATTTTATGTTATATAAACTCACAAGTATTTCTTAGTTGCCAGTATTTCTCAGTTGTGTTTATAATTCTCAATAAGTTATGCAAGTGGATGGTGGTCTTTCTTGTTTACTATTCATCACTCCTAAATGTATATTTTTCTCATTTTCTTCCCCTGCCCCACCCCAGGTACTGGGGATTGAACTATGGACACTCCACCACTTAGCCATATCCTCAGTCCTTTTAATTTTTTTATTTTGAAGATGGTCTCATTAACTTGCCAATGCTGGCCTTAAACTTATGATCCTCCTTCTTCAGCCTCCCTAGTGGCTGGATTATAGGCATGTGCCACTGTGTGTGGCTACCTTTTCCTCATTATAACCCAGAGAAAGGTGAAAAAGATAATCCAAACATACACATCTGAGATCAGACCATAATGTTGGATTTCAAAATGATCCAATTTTCAGAGCTCATCAATTATGCATTCTTCCCATTCAGTCCCTAATCACATGGCTAATTTAAAAAGCTTATAAAGCATGAGCTCTTGTCACATTCAGAGATAGTCAAGACCAACTCCTATCTTGTCTAACTGGGAGACTTAGGTCTAAAGAGAAATTCAAGGATTTATCATGGGTGGTATCATTTAACATATTTTTCTATCTTATAAAATTAGAGAAATCAGCTTCTGTTACATCAGTTTTCCTAGTGGTTCCTAGTCAAAGGATTGTTGAATAGGTATATAAATATAGGTTAGATTATAGCTTCAGGAATAAGGAATGCTGAAACACATATGCCCTATAAAAAAGTAACTAAAGTTACAAAAAAGTTACTAAAGGTACAAATAAGTGCCAAGTCACCTGAGACATGATTTTTAGAGCTGCAAGAAAAGACCATTCCTCTTCTGGGTTCCTATCTTAGAGCAGCACAGAATGTGGAAAAGGCAGAGCTGAGGAGGAGAAAACAGAACCATGAGACTAGGTTTTCTGCAAGGCTCCAAATGATTAAATCAGAATTATCTGTGTTGCTCTTTTCTTCCTGTCTCTTACTCCCACTCCCAAAATATAATATTACCGGGGGTAGACATAGGTGCTGTGCTGGTTCTTACCCCAATCAAACTGAATGCTTTCTATATTCAAAGGGAAACATAACTTATCTAGGATTTTTGAAATGATCATATATCTGCAGACATTATATAATATAAAAATAGAGATAATGACCAACTGTTATATTTTAATATATTAGTGATCATATATAATTTCATTAGAAGGTACAAATAATTAAACAACTATGTTTACAACTACTTATATTGAATAAACTTCTAGTTTAAGATGACAATATTCAACTAAATATTTTTGACCCCTTTTACTTATTTTTGGCATTTTGAAATGAAAGCTAAAAATGTGTATGTATGTTTGGGTGTGTGGAATACATAAAAATGCATTATCTACAAACACAGCCTTCTACAAATATTTGTTACTGGCAAGTTACATGTTTCAAGCAGTGTTGTCACCAGTGCTGTGACTTTTTGAAATGGTTAAAAATATCTCAGTAAATTTCTGAACAAAATGGAATACAATTTTTTCTTAAGCCATAGATGCATTCATGGAAAATTCACCTAATAATAAAATCATCCAACAACAGACAATATATCAATTTAGCATTTACAAAAATAAACTCACAAAAATGCTTTAGGTGAGAGCTTTCAGACCCAGATAATTATAATGGTCCTCATTCTATGTTACAGACAATTCTTTATTGTGCACTGGAGGACATCTAGAGCAGAAGTTGGCAAATGATTGCCCACCAACTAGTCTTGTAAATAAATTTTTAATGAAATACATGTATACTCATTTTTAAATGTATTATCTTTAGTTACATTCACACTGCAGAGGTAGAGCTGAATAGGTGCAAAAGAGATTATCTGGCCCGCTAAGCATAAAGTATTTACTGTTTAGCCCTTTATAGAAAAAGTTGGGTTAACCTCCAATCTACATCTATGATCTCAAAGCTAGAAGCCTTCCCCTTCAATCAGTTATTTTTAACATTCAAAATCAAAAGCTGAAATATTTCTAAAACATCCCACATAGAGAATCACTGCCACTGCAGAGAATCATTGATATAGGTGCCCAATAAATATTTAATTGGAAGTTCTATTCCTTCCATACCTAGAAATTTACAAAAGATAACTGTGCTCATTCTAACAACCACAAAAGTAACTCAGGTAAGATGAAAAATCATAATGTCTTTTAATTTCACCAGAGAAATTTAGATAAGATGAACTCCAAAAGTGCCAAGTTCTACTTATGGGGCTATATGTAGACACTCCATTCCTAGTTGGACTTAAACTAAATTGTTTTAGGAACATTCTAAACTTTCAATAAGAAGAGATTAAAAAAAACCAAGTTCTACCTATATGCTTTTAATAAGGAACACACTTTAAATATAGACACATAAGGATTGAAAGTAAAATGGTGAGAAAAATTCTACATAAATACTAAGCATGCTTGTGTGCTTGTATTGATATAAGACAAAATAGAATACAATACTAAACGAATAGAGATGTAATAAAATGCTTCAAAATACGTGAAACAAAAATTAACTGAAATATAGGGAGAGACAAATCCACAATTAGAAGTAGAAATATATTTTAGAAGCTAGGTGTGGTGATACAGTTCTATAATTCCAACTACTCAGGAGGCTGAGGCAGGCAGATAACAAGTTTGAAGTGAGCCTGAACAACTTTAGTAAGACCCTATGTCAAAATAAAGGGCTGGGGATGCAGCCAGTGGTATAATGGATCTGGGTTCAATACCCAGTACTGCCAAAAAAATCTTGGAACTGGGCTCAGTAGTGCCTACAGTCCCAATTACTTCAGAGGCCAAGTCAGGAGGATCGCTTGAGCCCAACAGCACAAGACCAGCCTAAGCAACATAACAAGACTCCATTTCCAAAACAAACAAGCAAACAAACCAACAAATACCCAAAAAACCAACAACAACCCAAATACCCCCAAAAAAAGCTAGAGAAGGAAACAGAACAAGTCAACAACAAAAAATATCAGTAACAATATTTATATAAGATTATATCAAGTTCCTTGACATAGTTGATACACATATAGAATACCATGTGTGATTGTCAAAAGCTGTGCTAGCATTCAGATTGTTCCAATTTTGTTCCCTTGATAATATTGATGCAAGTTCAGAAGAATCTCCTTTGAGAGCTGTTTGTGTAAGCTTTGCAGTTTGTCTTTAAGTTGAAGTTCAGGGGAGGGAGAGGGAGCAGAAAGAAAGTAAGTTTGAGGGGAAGCAGGGAAGAAAGCTTCTTTCAAGTCTGTTTTAACTATTTTAGAAATTATCATAATAAAGAACAAACAAACAAAAAGCTGTGCTAGGCTGAGTTGGAGAGAGTGGAATTGCTAGGTGTCAGAATGGTTGAGTAAGGCAACAAATCAAAATGAAAGTAACAGTCTAATCTTTAATCACTTACTGATCATTTAGTATAAGTAAGAGGCTAATCCAGAAAAATCAGCAACATCTCAAATGTTCAAGTTTCCCCCACAGAACAGTACTAATACAGGGAATCATATTGTCAAGGGATCAGGGAATAAAAGGCTTCTGGTATTATTATGGACTAGGAACAGGGGAATGATATGGGGGTAGGGTAGGAGTAGATAAGTACTAAGTATTGATTCACAGTGGAAAAAAATGTCTTCAAGGTTTTACCTCTTCCTCTCCTTAAGGATGTCTTGGCAAAAGTGCCTCCTCATACAGGTGCCTGGGATAGAAATGGCATAAAAACATGAATGGCCAGGAGTGCCTGAGTCCTTGACTTCAACTCTCTTTGGAGACTGCAATGTAGTCGAAGTGTACTCAGTCTAGTATGGGGAGTACAGCTTTCTCTTGTAAGGATAGCTTTTGGTGGAGCCTGTGAGCTCAACATACAATTTTGGCAGAAGCCAGACTCTTCACCAAATATAGAAAGTACATTCTTTTCAAGAACACCCAGAAAAGTCACCAAATAAACCAGATACTGAGTTACAAAATGGAATGATATACAGTATATTCTGTTCTTTGTCCACACATTATTAATAAAAAACTAATAAAAATAAGAGGTATAGAACAATCCCCAATATTTAGAAATTTAACATACTTCTATTCAAGCCATGGTTCAGAGAAGAAATCACAAAATATGTTGAACTGAATGACTACAGAAATGCACTTATCAAATTTTGTAGCCTGAAGATAAAGCAGTATTTAGAGGAAGATTTATAGTTTTTAAATTCTCATGGTGCATTAGAATAAAAAGCAAAGTGAAAGAACAACAATTTAGGGCCTAGAAGAAAGAAAGAAAGAAGCTAGCATGCAGCTTAATTTTATTTAAAGAGAGGATGGCTCCCTTCACGAAAGTTATCACAGTCCCTGAGTGCAGACGAAATGACAGAAGTAGAATAACCCCTGAGAAAATGACAGTTAATTAAAGATATCAACAGCTACTAAAGGAAATCACATAAAGGAAAACAACCAACTACAATGTACATCACTACATATGAAGGATTTGTGTAAAACAAACAAACAAAAAAACATATTCAAGAAGTTCAGGGCCTGAGGAACATGTTAAATTAAATCACAGATAGGCAATCAGCAAAATCTATAAGGAACTGTGTTTATGGAACTGCAAGAAAGGAGAGAGAGAGTGGATTTACCTACATATTCAAAATTTTAAGAAACTTATCACTATTATAAATAAAAAGAGGGCCAGGGATGTAGTTCAGTAGTAGAGCAATTGCCTAGCATGCACAAAGCCCCGAGTTCAATTCCCAGTACTGTCAAAAGCAAACAGACATTGTTTGAATCTTGATTCTAATAAAATATATAAAAAATTATGTACAATGGGGAAATTTAAACACTGATCGGCTTTTTATTTTTTACCTTTATTTTATTTGTTTATTTTTATGTGGTGCTAAGGATCAAACTCTCTACCGCTGAGCCACAACCTCAGTCACCCTGGATTGGCTTTTTCATGACATTATAGATATAGAGTATTTTTCTTTAGAGTAGTGATGATATTAAAGTTATACATTTTAATTAAAAAGTTTTGGCCAGATGTGGTGGCACATGCCTGTAATCCCAGCAGCTTGGGAGGCTGAAGCATGACTGTGAGTTCAAAGCTAGCCTCAGCAATTTAGTGAGGCCCTAAGCAACTCAGTGAGACCTTGTCTCTAAGTAAAATATAAAAAAGGGCTGGGGATGTGGCTCAGTGGTTAAGTGCCCCTGAGTTCAATCCCTGGTACCAAAAAAAAGTTTTGTCTTCCAGATATATGTATTTAAATATTAATGAATGAAATGATATATCTGGAATTTTCTTCAAGAAAACCTATGTCGGTGGCTGAGAATGTGGCTCAGTGATAGAGCTTTTGCCTTGTATGTATAAGGCCTTGGGTTCATTGTCTACACTGAAAAAAAAAAAGAAGAAAAAAAAAGGGAGAGTAGTAGAGCTATAGATGAAATATTTTTTAATACATTTATTTATTTTTTATGTGGTGCTGAGGATCAAACCCAGTGCCTCACACATGCTAGGCAAGCACTCTACCACTGAGCTTACCCCAGCCCCTACAAATGAAATGTTTACCCATAAATTCATATTTGGTGAGGCCGAGTAATGGTAAAAATACATGAGGATGCATTACACTATACTTTTTACTTTTATACATGTTTTGATTTTTTTTTATAAAAAGAAGTTTAAAAGGCTAGGGTTGTGGCTCAGAGGTAGACTGCTTGCCTAGCATGCGTGAGGCACTGGATTTGATACTTAGCACCACATAAAAATAAAATAAAGGTATTTTGCCCACCTAGAACTAAAAAATAAATGTTTTTTTAAAAAAAGAAGTTTAAAAAAACCTGAAAGACAGAGCACACATGTGAACAAGGATTCATTTCAGAGGACAGCAATTTTTCAGTAATTGCTATTTTTTTTTCTTTATGTATTTAAAAATTATGCCCATGAACATGTTCCACTTTGATTTCTGAAAACACAGCTCCCTGATTTTCTAAACAAGAATATACAATAGTTTTTAAATTGAGATTCTTAGCTTGGGGATGTAGCTCAGTGGTATAGCACATGCCTTGCAGGTACAAGGCTCTGGATTTGATCCTCAGAACTAAAAGAGAGACAGAGACAGAGAGAGAAGGAGAAGAGAGAGATTCTCACTAAATTTGTAGAAAAAAGATTTAACAGAATAAATTCTAAGAAAATTTCTTTAAAATTAGGTATTTGAAGAAAAGATGGGGAAAGAGAAAAATGAAGAAATAGAACAATTTATTATGTACATAGGACTGAACTCAAGTTACATTCCCAGACCTTTTTATTTTTTAATTTTGATCAGGATCTCACTAAGTTGTCCAGGCTGGCTTTAAACTTGTGATCCTCCTCCCTTAGCCTCCCAAATTGCTTAGATTTTACAGGTGTGTGACACCACATGAAGCTACCAATTTTATTATTATTCAGAATTATGATTCAGGTAGAACTTGAGCCAAATGAATTAAACTAAAAGTAGGCCACTTCTAGAAATCTGCCCCAAAGATAAACAATATATAGTTACTGATTGCTGCATTATGTAATGGCAAAACACTGTTTAAAAAAAATGCCTAAGTTAGGCACTGTGGCACAGGCCTGTATTCCCAGCATGTGGGGAGGCTGAGGCAAAAAGAGCGTGAATCTGAAGCCAGCCTCAGCAACAGAGAGGCAATAAGCAACTCAGTGAAAGCATGTCTCTAAATAAAACATAAAAACAGGGCTGGGGATGTGGCTCAATGGTTGAGTGCCCCTGGCACCCCAATGCCAGGTAACCTCCCCAAAATGCCTATATTCATAGGAGACTCATTGAACAAATTATTACACCCAAACAATAGAATATGCAGCTATAAAAAAGAATGAAGATCTCTACAAGCTACTATAGTAGAATCTCTAGGAAATATTAGATGGGTGAAAAAAGGTGCAGAATGGCATTTATCACTTCCTTTTAATTAAGAATAAGAGATAAAGGGCTGGGGTTTGGCTCAGTGGTGGGGCGCTCATCTAGTATGTATAAGGCCCTGGATTTGACCCCAGGCACCACATTAAAAAAATAGAAATAAAGTTATTAAAAAAAAGAATAGAGATAAAAACTGCATAATTCACACACAAACACATTCACATTAACATAAATATATATGTACATATAATTTTTTAAAAGAAAAAAACAATGAGAAGTAGAGGTAGTTCATTGTAGAGGGAAGAAAGAAGCAGGGTGGAGGAGACAGACATTGACAAAGACGTGTCCAAATTCACCATGTTCTACAGCTTTGCCCTTGGAAATATGTAAATGTGTTACTTAATCTTAAAGCAAAATTAGAGTGCGAGGAAAGCAATCCCTAAAATTGGAAAGCAAAATGGAACAAATGAGCCTACCTGTGTCTCAAGTTGATAGCCAAACCATTCAAGAGGTGTTATTTTATGTGACTTTAAAAACATGGTAATTTGATTAAACATTCTGAGTGGGTTATCCTGTTCAGCTCCAAGAGGTCTTGATTGTTTTTCTGTATTTATATGGTTAGTAAAAATACTAGTATGGTTATTTTAAAGTTCTTTCTCTCAATTAATCCAAAATAAGACAGGAAAGATGGAAAAGGGAATAAAAAGCAAATGGGATAAATATAAAACAAATAGTAAGATAATGAGTTTGAACCAAACCACATCAGTCATCACACTAAATATAAACGATCTGAATATTTCAATTAAAAAATATTGCCAGCTGGGTGTGGTGGTGCACACCTGTAATCCCATTGGCTTGGGAGGCCAAGTCAGGATTGTGACCTCAAAGCCAGCCTCAGCAAACTCAGTGAGGCCCTAAGTAAATCAGCAAGACCCTGTTTCTAAATAAAATATAAAAAAGGGCTGGGAGTTGGTTCAATGGTTAAGTGCCCCTGGGTTCAATCCCTGGTTCCAAAAAAAGAAAAAGAAAAAGGAAAGAAAGAAAGAAAAGATTGCCAAATTGGATAAAAACACAAAACCCAACAATATGCTGTCTATAAGAAATGCATTTAAAATAATCAAAAAACAAATAGGTTAAAAGTAAAAGGATAATCTGGCTGTGGTGGTACACATGTGTAATTCCAGCAACTCAGCAACTGAGACAGGATAGCAAATTCATGGCCAGCCTGGGCAACTTAGCAAGATCCTGTCTCAAAGTGAAAAATAAAATAGCTGTGAATTAAGCTTAGTAGTAGAATTTCCCTGAGTTCAATCCACAGTACAGGAAAAAAAAAAAAAAAAAAAGAAAAAGAAATATAGTCAGACAGACAGACATACCATGCTAACACTAATGAATCTGGAGGGCTTACTTAAGTATCAGTGATGGAGATGCTCAGAGAAAAGAATACTACTGTGGATAAAGAAGAACATTTCATAAGAAAAAGAGATTCATTGTACCTAATAACAGAGTTTCAAAACACGTGAAGCAAGACCTGATAGAAACTACAAGGAGAGAGACATAAATCCAAGAAATAAAAATCAGTCAAGAAATAAAAATCAGTTAAGATATTAAAGATTTAAACAAACTAGCTGACAATATTATAAAACATTCTACCCAGAAACAGAGGCAAACAGTCTTTTTAAGTGCATATAGAACATTTACTAAGATGCCTCAAATTCTAGGTCATAAAACAAATCAATACATTTAAAAGGATTCAAATCATACAAAGTGTATTCACCGAACAAAATGAAATAATATTAGAAATAAATGCAAAAAGATCTCTAGAAGATCCTCAAACTATTTGAAAATGAAATAACACACAGTAAAATAGCCCAAGAGTTAATAAACCAAAAGACAACTTAAAAAGTATTCTGAACAAAAGGCAGATAATGAAACAAGAATGGTAAGTGATAGCTTTTGAACTAGGCATAAAATGGTTCATTATATTTTTGTTTCTGTTTGAAAATTTCAAACAAACCCAAAATCAAACCCCCAAAAGTTTTAAAAAATGAATGTTGTAGTGTCACAGATAAAAATAGAGGTGTCATTTTTCAAATCCATGGATATCAAATCCATTCTTCCTAAATTTAACTACTAGTGGGAAGCATCCTCACAGTTAACTGTATATTTTCCTTGTTCTCAATGTACAAAAAATTGCTTTGTCCTTCCACCATCTACGATTTAGGTAGGAAAGTGCAAAAAGAAAACAAAGATTCCTGTGTTCTGAAAACACAAAGACAGTTCAAGAAACAAAGAGGAAATATATACTCACCTTGAACTTTGCTTTTGAATGTGTGATAGTCATTCTTTCCTTCTTTTGACTCTATTCTCAGAAAAAGAAAATGGAATGAGACACTAGACTTTTCTTCAATTATACTCTAAATTAGAACACACCCTCTTTCTCTATTCCCACAATCTACTCCTCTTTATCAGACAGGCAAGTCCTCTTTATCAGATAGGCAAGGTAATTACAACTGTTTTGCACCTTCTATATCAAAAAGGGCCCAAGCTGTCTTGGGCCAGAATTTATTTCTGGATTCAAAGGTGTCCACTGGAGATTGAGCACTGAGTGGAGTATTAGAGGTTCTAAAGACTGTCCTTGTCTCTTACAGCACTCCCTCTCCCACTTTTGGAACCCTGCCATTTTTCCAACTGGTTAGTCCTGAAGGTGCTATTAGTTCTAAAAATTTTAAGTCAGGTCTGTGGCTGGGAAATAACCTTTTCTTTGCACAAAGGCTCAAATTTCTGAATTCCTTCTTCCTACCTCTTCTCTGCATCCAATTCCCTTAGGGTTATAAGTTAAAGAGAGATGACCCGGAAGCAGAGGCAATCCTACAATTCAGATTCCAAGTGAACTGAGGATTGATATAGAAAAAAACTTCAGGCCATGTGTGGAATGGGTAGCCCCTGTGTTCAAAACGGTCAAGTACTTAAGTTCTCAGAGCAGCAAAAAGCCACACAGGAAACATGATCCACAGACTCTACCCCAGAATGAACCCCAGAAATATCAAAACGAAATTTTATCACTGTACCCCACTAAACTCTTGTAAGGTCACAGAATATAAAATATATGAATGACCACACAAAGTCGCACATAATGACATTTCCATAGCTACAACAGCCAGTCACAATCATTAGTTAGGTTGCTGTGTTACAACTCTACCCTTAAACAAAACCCAATCAAACACAGGGAATAAACACAAACACATCCAAACACCTTCCCAGGTACGCACACCGCCCAACACACCCTTTCAGAGCGACACTTTGGAGCTCTTCCAACAGTCAATAAATGGGCACACAGAATCCCAGTCACACACATGATCATCGACTCAAACCCAACGAAGTTCAGGTCCAGGAAACACGGAGTCATAAACGCAGTCTCAGCAACGCTGTCACACACATCAACCTCTCGGGCAAACCCGTCAGACACGGGACACAAGCACATCCAAACACTCTGCACTACCGTTATGTACGAGGTACTCAATCACAGAGTCACAGACGCCTATCTCCTGTCACATACCCTCAGAGTCACAAACAACTCACACGAACGCTCAGACACAAAACACCGTCGCGCACGCCCATTTGTCTACACGATCACCAATACCAGGCGGGCTGCGGTGCGCGCACGAAACCGCAGGAGACACGGCCACACACGCAATTCCTGCGACGCTCCCCGCGCGCGTTTCCGCCCTGGCCTCCCGGACACTTACCTTCATAGGAGTGCACCTCAGACGTCCAGGATGCGGCGCCCGGGTTCTAAGCCCGATTTCTGGGTCGCCCGCCCAGGGGTGCAGAGCAAGCTCCCGCACAGACAAGGCCCTCCCGAGGCTGGGAGCCGCTCCCCACTAACACCCCCCCCCCTCGCGAAGAAACGGAAATGAAGCTGAGATCGGTACGCGGTGGCTCTGGGAAAAGTAGTCTAGGGCCCGGAAGGCAGTGGCTGCCCGCCAGGACGCTAGGAGGCGCAGTGCACTCACCCTCGGCTGCGTTCGATGACCGGCCGCTGGAACCCTCTTTTCCCGCTCGCCGCGCCCCGGAGACTTCTGGGAGTTCCGCGTCAATGCGCAGGCGCTGCGCGCTCAGTTGGAACAGTGAGGGCTGAGAGAGTGTCTAGCGATCCCGAGTTCCGCCGCTGTGCGAAAGAGTGTGGGAACTGCCAGCCCGGAAAGTGAGGTGAAGGAGCCGGAGCCGTAGCAGGAGTCCTGGTCGGAACCTGGATTTGCACGGGGCCCTCTGAGGGTGCTTTGCCATGCCGTTGTGTGTGTGATCGCGACTGTCTGGCCGATTGGGAGTCTCAGTGGCCTTTTGTATGATTGTGTTTCTGCCTGTGTAATTCTTCATGTTTTGAAGTCTGAGGTGATTTGTACTTGAAGCCGCGTGGCAATGGAACTTTAGGACTGTGTGGAATTGTCCTTAAGCTAAATCCTCTCCTTTTGCACCAAAAGTTTTAGATTATCATTTAAAAGTGAAAAGAGAGAATTCTGCCATAGTGGTTTATGAAGAATCTCTGGTTTTCTGGTTTTGTGTCCGTGATTGAGTAGGCTGATGATGATGATTTGTGTTACACAGATGTACTTTTATGTGTATGTGTGTACTTATATTTCAGAATGTCTATAGGAGTTCAACTACAAATGAGACTGCGAGTGACGGGGGGGGAAAATGATGGTCAAGTTATTTCTCCTTGAATAGGGATTTGATGATCTGGAAAAGGTAATCAATTTATCTGATAAGTAATTTAGACAATTTTTATTAGCTCAAAGCCAGTCCTAGGGTAAATTCTTCCTCTACCCCAATTGTTTTCTGTTATAGAAGGACACAACTAGGTAAGGTTGAGAGGCTGTTGAGTAATAAAATAATAATAAAAATAAACCTTTATACACATAGGAAGAGTGGATTTTAGTAGAGTACCTTCAAGGTACTTTTAGAGTACTTTAACCTGAATTCTAGGTTAAACATTTGTCCCCATTGTCTGATGAGCAAACCTTGGTTTACAGAGAGAAAGGTAAAGAAAGGAACTTAAGGCTGTCTGGTAAGCCTGAATTTCTTTCCACTTACTTCAAGACCTTGTAGCCATTAAAAAAAAAAAAAAATCACAAACTTGTGAACTTCCAACACACAGGAGATAGAGGTAATATCACTCCTTCACAAGAGTGGGAGTGTTGATAAAACAATCTAACTTTCAGGACCATACACCACATACTTTTGTTTTCTTGCCAGTACTGCGACTGGAGTAGCAGGTTTGATGATCTGGATTACTGACTGGAACTTGTGTGCCCAGAAACAGCTGTGTGGAAAAAAAAAAAAGTCTAATTGCACTGACTTAGTGTGAGTCAAAGAGGAAAAAAGAGTTATGTCAGTATATATGGGAGATACAGATTTTTTTAAAAGAGATAGTTATAGTCTGGTTTTACTTTGGATAGTATGCATTAATCTCAAACCACATCTCTGTGATTCTGGATTATCTTTTGGCTTTTGAATAGTTGTGAAGAATACTTGCAAGAAAAAGGAAATTATCACTTAAAAGTGAAAGACAAATTGATAACCTGAGATGCACAGATTCCTTCTGAATGGACTTCTTGTATATTAAACTTGAAATATTTTATACAAGTTGATGTAATGTGATTTCTTCAATAGAAAGTATGAGAGTTTCTTAGATTCACAAAGAGGTGCTTTAACCCCAAAATGTTAAGACCATTGGAAAACAGACTGAAGAAACTGAGGACATACCATATGATAGAATTAGTATAAGTGTAGTTTTTTTTAAAGTTTTATTTTATTTAATTTTTTTTATGTGGTGCTGGTGATCAAACCCAGTGCCTCATGCATGTGAGGCAAGCACTCTACCACTGAGCCACAACCCAGCCCGTACTATTGTATTTAATAGAGGTTTATAAACCAAATTCCTTTCAGTGGTAACCTTTGGCGTAAAAGGAGAGGATTTAGCTTAAGGACAAATGAGTAAATGTTGAAGGGACAGTGAGCATATTGATCATTTTTCTGTCAATGAAGAAAGCTTATCTTATTATATATTTAAATTGAAATTTTAAAATTAAAAAAATAGTAGAGACATTGAAGATTTTGCAGTATGGCAGTGAGACAAGGAACCTAAATGGTAGAAGCAGACAAAAGGGGAAAAGAAACAAAACTTAGGACTTCAGAGACAAAGGAATACTTCAATGACAACTTTTCTTTTTTTAAAGAGAGAGAATTTTAATATTTATTTTTTAGTTTTTGGCGGACACAACATCTTTGTTTGTATGTGGTGCTGAGGATTGAACCCAGGCCGCACGCATGCCAGGCGAGTGCGATACCACTTGAGCCATATCCCCAGCCCCAATGACAACTTTTCATAGTTCAGGTGTACCAGTTCTTTTCTAAACTGTCAGTTCCAGATTTATATCCTTAACCTTGCAGACCTTTAAGGATTATTCATTTCTTCAGCCAGCAACTAGATTCATCCTAGTGGTGTGGCTGCCCCTAAATGGCATTGATAAGTATGGTCTCTTTCCTGGCACTGAATAATTTTCTTTGAAAATCTTTTTAGGTGTTGGCAGATGATATTGTCCTTTTTCTAGTAGATTGGACTTATTCCAATGCATAGATGTTATACATTAATCAGTAGTCCTGGGAAAGTGTTTGAGGAACTCTGGTATTTTTATAATTATTTTCCCTGAGAGTTTATTTTGACAAATGCTAAAACTGAAAGAAAACATGATGGTATACACTGATGTATATTTACCTAGATTCACCAGTTTTTAACATTTTGTACCATTTGCTTAATCTCAATGTATTTACATATTTTTATTTTTTGCTTAGTATTTATGAGTAAACTGCAGAGATCTCATAGCTCATGGCTGAGTATTTCAACATGCATCTCTTTAAGAACAAGGTTGTTTTCTTCTGCATAACCTTGTAACTTGAAGACAAAAATTTTTTAAATGACTTTTTTAAACATTTATTATTATTATTATTTTAGTTGTAGGTGGACACAATACCTTTATTTTATTTTTATGTGGTTCTGAGATCGAACCCGGTGCTTCCTCTAAGCCACAACCTCAGCCCTCCAAAATGATTCTTAATATAAAATATACAATCTATTTTTTAAACTACTTCAGTTGTTCCCCTGTATGTTATATTCTGTATCTATATTTTGAAAGATTGACCCGTGACCCCAAGCAAAGTCATACATTGCATTGGATGGACCTCTCTTTTTAGTTTCTTTAATCTAGAGCAGCATTCCCCTTACCTACTTTTTTTTTTTAATTTCATGATAACTTTTTGTGTGTGTGTGTGTGTGTGTGTGTATGTGGTACTGTGGTTGGAACCCAGGGCCTCTGTACATGCTAGGCAAGCACTCTACCACTGAGCTATATCCCTCATGGCAACATTTTTGAAGAGTGAAAGAGTCTAGAATATTTATCTCATAGAATGCCAACATTGTGGATTTATTTGATTGTTCTGTCACAATTATGTTGTTTAAATTATATTTGGCACAAATACTATGGGTGGTGATGTATTCTTCAAATTGTACCACATAAAGAAACACATAATTACAGTTTGATCCATTATTGGTGATTCTAAATTTGATCACTTTGGTCCAAGTACTTAGTACACCTGATTTCTCCATGGTAAAAGATACTGTTTTTCTTCATAGTCAAGAAGTAATCTGGGGCTGGGGTTGTAGCTCATTGATAGAATGCTTGAATGTGTGAGGCATTGGAATCGATTCTCAGCACCGCATATAAATAAATAAAATAAAGGTCCACTGATAATTAAAAATATATTTTAAAAAATGTTTTATAATTGTAGATGGACAGAATGCCTTTATTTTATTTTTTTAATTTTTTTTAATATTTATTTTTTAGTTATCGGCAGACACAACATCTTTGTCTGTATGTGGTGCTGAGGATTGAACCCAGGCCGCACGCGTGCCAGGTGAGCATGCCACTGCTTGAGCCACATCCCCAGCCCATATTTTATTTTTTATTTAAATTTTTTTATGTGATACTGAGGATCGAACCCAGTGCCTCACACATGCTAGGCAAGCATTGTACCACTGAGCCACAACCCTGGCCAAACTTTATTTTTTTATGGTACTGGGCATTGAATCAAGGGCCTTGTACATACTAGGCAAGCACTCTACTACTGAGCTCTATTCCCAGCCCCTGAATATTCTCAATTTTACTAAACAAAGTACAATATTTTCCAAAGATAATTTTTCAATTTACACTCCATACTAATATTTAATATTTGACATTGTCAGAGTTTAAGTTTAGGTCATTTTGGTAGATGTGTATGCAATAGAATATCATTTGTGTGTGTTTGTGTTTTGTAAGTGGATGTGATACCTTTTTAAAGTTTATTTTTATGTGGTGCTGAGGATTGAACCAAGTGTCTCATACGTGCTAGGCAAGCACTCTGTCACGGAGCTACGACCTCAGCCTTCATTTTGGTTTTTATTTGCATTTTTCTAGTTAATAATGTTGAGATTATTTTAAAAACATGCTTATTGGTCAGTCCTCCTATTTGACATGCCTACTAAAGCCTTTTGTTTCATTTTTCTTTTTGTTTAATTATTAATTATAGAACTTTAATAAAGTATTTGGGATGTTTAACCTATATTAAGCATATGTGTTGAAAATATCTCAGTTGAGAGCATGTCTCTGGATTCTCTGGATCCTTTGACAAATAGTAGTTCTATTTTAATGTCAGGTTTATTAAATTTATAGCTTGTTCTTTTGTTTTAAGGTTTATAGTTTTGTCTTTCATAGTTTGTTGTTAGAAGATCCTTGAGAATGAT